AGTCAGCTTTCCTGCTCCTCTGATGCTGCTTGGCCTGCTGTGTTCATCCAGCCCTACACCTTGTTATCCCAGTTCATATTGGTTCTTGTTTATTGATGGTTACATATTCTGGTTCAGCATGTTCAAGAGGATTGTTGAAGCTATTTTAAATCAGTGTTCTTCCCTTTTAAAACACCTTTGTAGTCCATGAAGTTCCTGGGAATTGAAACTGTATGGTGGAAGTTAGATATTGATAGTTCATATTTTACCAATGCCATAAAAAGGACACCTCTGAAAGCAAAATCTGATTATTGCATTTAACTATACAGGTGCAGATGAAAGAAGTTGCTGCCCGCTTTATCTTTTAATAATGGTGATGCTGATAACTGTACCTTATTCCTATCACAAATTATGACTTACATTCTTTGAATTTTATTATGACTTCTCGGAAAGAAAAACATTGTACATAAAACCATGGTTCTTTACTTAAAGAAGTAAGAGTTTTACATTTATATTTAGTAAGAAATGTGTGTTCTCAAGTTTTATATTGTGAAAAAGCATTTAAACTATTATTTATTTATTAGGCATCCTTGGAAAAATATTGAATATTTGATTCGAGTGTATCATGTTCCTTGTTTAGTGAAGTAGCAGATGGACTTGGACCAAAATCTGAAGCTGCACCAACTTGGGCCTAAATGTTTTCAGTCGAAGTCTTTGGTAAGCTTAATATTGAAATAACTCCACAGAGGCCAGTATCCCGTCACCAAAATCATCCTTTATTTACATGTGGAGAGTCCTTGACATTGATCCAGCTCCCTTAGAGCCAGCTCTCAGAGTGAACAGGATGTCGGACACTCCTGTTTTTATCTGTCAGCCAGGGCTCCCTGATCAGGACACTCAAATTCTATGGGGTCCAACTGGCTGACCTTGTTTCAATCACAACATCCCTCCCCTTCTGAGTCCGAGGACATAGGCCAGTTCTTTTTTCTGTAGGTCATCCTGGGGCATTTTATCCCTGGGCCAAGTTCCTCCAACTCTGCCTCTGATATGGGCGGCATGTAATACACAGTTACTTGCCTCTTGCGCTTGGAGTGTCTCTGAAGAAATTCATTCTCTACTTCAGGCTGCAAAGGCATTGAGGCATTGACATCCTCCATGTCTGTCTCAAATTCTGAGGCACTTTCAATGCTTGACAGAGAGGGTGATTCCATAGGTTCCAGAACAGTCAGAAAAGCTGTCGAGGAGCCAGGAACACTTTACTCAAAGAACAATAAAGAAGAAAGAACAATACAGCACAGGAACAGGCCCTTCAGCCCTCCAAGCCTGCATCGCCACATTTTGCCCTTTGATACTACAACTGTCTTCACTTACAGGATCCATATTCCTCTACTCCCTTCCTATTCATGTATTCATCCACGTCCTTCTTGAATGTTGTTATTGTGTCTGCTTCCACCACCTCCTCTGGCAACACCAAAAACTTGCCTGGCATATCTATTTTAAACTTCCCTCCTCGCTCCTTGAGCCTGTGCCCCTAGTGACTGACCTCTTTACCCAGGGGAAAAGCCTCATATTTTCCACTCTATGCATGCCATTCACAATCTTATAAACTTCTATTAGGTTGCCCCTCAACCTCCTGCGTTCCAGTGAAAACAAACCCAATCTTTCTTCATAGCTAAAATCCCCAATACCAGGCAACGTCCTGGTAAACCTTTTCTGTACCCTCTCCAAAGCATCCACATCCTTCTGGTGGTGTGGTGACCAGAAGTGTATGCAATATTCCAAGTGTGGCCTGACTAAAGTTCTACAAAGTTGCGGCATAACTTGTCTATCCTTATGCCCAATGCCCCTTCCAATGAAGACAAGGATGCTATAAGCCTTTTTTACTACCTTATCAACCGGCACTGCAGTGATCAGTGGACCTGCACACTCAGATCCCTCTGCATATCAATACTCCTAAGGGTTCTGCCATTCACTGTATAATTCCCATCTGTACTTGACTTTCCAAAATGCATCATCTCACATTTGTCTGGATTAAACTCCATCTGCCTTTTTTCTGCCCATGTTTCCAACTGAACTATATCCTGCTGTATTATCTGACAGTCCCCCTCACTATCTGCAACTCCACCAATCTTTGTATCGTCTGCAAACTTACTAATTAGGCCAGCTACATTTTCCTCCAAATCATTTATATAGATCAGGAACTGAAGAGGTCCCAGTACTGATCCCTGTGGAACACCACTAGTCATAACCACTTCTCTATCCATCTTTCCAGCTCATCCTGATACCATGTGACTTCACCTTTTGTATCAGTCTGCCATGAGGGACCTTGTCAAAGGCATTACTGAAGTCCATGTAGACAACATCAACTGTTTTTCCTTCATTGATCATCTTCATTACCTCCTTAAAAAGCTCAAACAAGTTAATGAGGCACAACGTCCCCGGCACAAAACTATGCTGTCTTTTACTAATAAGTGCATTTGCTTCTAAATGTGTATAGATCTTGTCCCTGAGAATCTTATCCAATAATTTCCCTACCACTGATGTGAGACTCACAGGCCACTAATTTCCAGGATTATCCCTGCTACCCTTCTTAAATAGTGGGACAACATTGGCTATTCTGGGACTTCATCTGTGGCCAAAGAGGATACCCCATTGTAATATGTCGTCCTCTACTGTGATCTGGTCTCTCTCCGAGTCCAAAAAGTTTTCAATTCTGGTTGTGATGGTCCTTTGGTTTCCTCGATCACCACCAGCTGTTTCAGGTTTGCCAGAACTAGATTTTTCTGTGTCCAAAGTCTGATATTGTCAGCTGTGACTGGAAGTGTGTCCAGAAAACTTAAAACCATCGCGGACTCTTCCAGTGGCTGTACCACCGGATTTGCTACTTGGCCTCTCATACGGTGTTCCAACTTGTAATTATATGCACTTAGTATCAGAGCCACTGCTGAATTCGGCCTGAAGCTATGGGTGGCACTGCCTTTTCCAATTTAGGTAGACCTAGCAGGGGTTTGTGATCCATTTTTATTACAAATTTACATCCGTAGTGGTATTTGTGGAGCTTCCTGACTCCAATTATGACCGTCCAACCTTCCTTTTCTACCTGGGCATATTTATGCTCTGCATTAGCCAAAGTCCTGGATGCATACGCCATGGGTGTTTCTCACGATTGGGCCATCTATGAACTAATACTACCTCAATACCGTACAGGAAGGCATTGCATGTCAATACCAGATCTCATTTGGGATCATAGTGTGCCAACGCTTTAGAGGATACTAGCTGTTTCTTCACTTCCCTGAAAGCTACGTATTTCCAAAGCTGAACATTTTTTAGGAGTTGATGCAAGGTGCCAGGATGGAGGCCAAGTTATGAATTTTCCGAATTAATTCACCAGTCCAAGGAAAGGCCTAAGCTCCAGTGCAGATGTGGGAGTCAGAGCACCTTTGATGGCCCTCACTTTATCTTCCAAAAGGTGTAACCCAGACTTGTTGACTCTGTAGCCCAAGTAGGTCATCTGGGTGCTTGGAACACACATTTTTCCCTTCTAAGGCATGGGAGAAGCATCTAAGGACTATGCCCAAGTTCTCTAAGTGTTCCTTATTTGTCTTCGCTGTTATTAGTGTATCATCTAGATAAATGGCAACCTGGGGTAAATCTTGTGAAATGTTCTCCATCGTCCACTGAAAAATTGCACAGCCTGACAATACTTCAAATGGCAGTCTTTAATGAGTTTATAGGTTACATTATCATGAACTAAAATATTTTCTACACCACAAGATAGTAACAATGTGAAAATCTAATATTAAAATAAATATGACACCAATGCAGGAACAAACACCATCAATAAGACTGGAGCTAACAATATTTAATATTTCAGGAATATATAACTGTCCCGAGAGTACAGTTGCATTTGTAATGTATTGTCCATTTTACAACATAGGAAAGGAGGATTTCCAGAAGATAGTTACAGAAATTACATTGAAACTTCTAATTGGTGCACAGTTTAGATTAATCTAAACATCCTTCACTGTGTCAGAAGGAGGTCATTATATTGGGAGAAGAAAAATGATATGTCATACACTGATGTAGTTTTATAGAGTCAAAAAAATCTTGCCAATATAATGTTATGATATTCCAATAATTGCTGCACATTTTCTCTAATTTTAAAATAAATTCTGGACAACTGCCTTTTGTCAGCCAGCTAACAGCTAGTAATTTTTTATTCATTCATGAGATTTGGCTTTGCTAGCTGGGCCATCATTTATTGCCCATCCCTGGGTGCCTTTGAGAAGACGGTGGTGAGTTGCCTTCTTGAATTGCTGCAGCCCATTTGATACAGTAAATTAAATGTGACATCTGCAGGTTAAAGGATAACATCAAACATTAAAAATAAAGAAGCAGTTACCATTAGTACACAAAGCCAGAATTTAATTCTAAATTAGATAAATTCAGGCTACAGTAGTAGTATCTCTCAACAGCTCAATATTTAATTCCTTTCAATTGAGACATCAAAACACACTCCAAAATTTGCCTCCACATGTATCCTGTTTTCTCATTCCTGTGCTAAAAGCAATGGCAGACTTTCAATACCCATACCATGTAAGCATTCTTCAGGCGTAAGCTCAGATAATTAACTGTCGACAAGGTCTTCAACCATGGTATAGAATCATAGATGAGACTATATCCTTATCTTCATTTGCATCCATATAAATTTCCCATCAGGATTCGTGAGGTAATGATTAGAAGGTGGATCTCTAGCTGCTTTGTTCCCTCCTGGTCCAGTGAACCTAACTTGTAACTACTGCAATGACATTCCAGATCTCATTAGGTGAAGAAGTGAGACTAGGACTTTCCAGTTTAATATGGATCATTACCATAAAGTGTGGTACATTTACAAACTGACCCATCAAATAAGCCAGCCCCGTGCTTCTTAAACTAAATCTTACAAATAAATAATATGCATTTTTAAGATCACATCAAAACGTCAGATTGACCTTCCTTTTTGAATGCATGTAATTTATTTTGTTATCTTTTCAAAATGGAAGTGAAATTACAGAATAAATCACACATGCAACGGTTTAATGGACATATTTATAAAGGTATTTATAAAGGTGCTCAGAGTTCTGAGTATTGTCAATAGGATATTTATTGAGATCTACCAATTTTTAAAAACATTTTATAAATGGGTTTGCTGAATATGGCAAATATTTTTCCTTATGTGAAATGGAACAGATTTGATTCCTAATTTATTTTGTGTTAAGCTTGAAACGTGAGATTGTGTTTCAACTATTTACGAAAGAAAGTAAATTTGATTATTTTTCACAAATTGATTTTAAAGCCATTTTTATTAATCAAAGAATAACACATATATGTAACATGCAATAAACATGGCATGAACACATATTAATGCAGAGTTGATATTGGGAGGGTAGACATTTATTACAGTTTAAGTATTTAATCTAATTTGGCATGTTTATGCTACAAATGATAAGATCAATATCTTTAAATGAATTTGTAGTCATTATCACTTTAGTTGATCATAAATCTCACTCACATTGCTTTCGATGTGTTCTTAATATGTTTTAGCAATATATTTCTGTCCACAATTTGTATTGATATTTCTGGAAGAATTGTACCTGTACATGGATACAAAGAAAATAATAACATACTTAAACAAAAACGGAGAAAAAAATATTTTATATATCTTCAGAGGCAACATATCAATTTGCGCTCACAACTCTGCTTCTGATGTGCGTTGTATACATCCTAGCTCTGATTAATGATGATAATTTACCGATGTGGTGAACCTGAGTACTGGTATGGCACAAAATACAAAAGGAACAGTTTTCAAAATTATTTGTTCACAAATTGGTGCAATGAGACAATGAGTGATGAAGAGCTTCAATGTCTCTCCTGATTTCCACATAATGCAATATGCTATAGGCAATTTGTGTAGTAATTTTGTAAATGTATTCATGAGAATTTCTCTGGTTGGCATTTCAAATGAATTTGTAAACTTATTCTAAAGGAAAATTTTGCGAGGAAATATTCATTAATGCATTTCTGACATGCAGTGTGCAGAGCAACGCATTCCCCTTATTGAGCTCCCAATTACCATTGCTTTAGACAGTTGCTAATTTGAGGTGATATTTCCCAAGGAAAAAAAGATAGTTAAACGTGATTCAAAATAAATCAGTACATAATAGATATCACAATCATACATCTCCTCATTGCAAGTTCTGAACTATTTATATCAGAAACAGATCAGAAGAATTTGGAATAAAACCAGAAACTACAGGAGAAACTCAACAGACCTGAAAGCAACTGTGGAGAGAAAAACAGCGTTCTTCAGAACTGGAGATTTGTATCTTCATATTAAGTGATTTTCCTATTAGAGGTAAAATCGATACAATAGTTTAATTTAACTGTGTTCATGGGAGGATTTGATAACATTCTGGTTATTTTCTAGCAAAGTTGTTATGGAGCGACTAAATGTTGTTACAAAACCATGCTCAATATAAAATTGCCTAATAAATTAACTAACTGGAAACCACATAGTTAGGATGACCCAGACCTAGGCAGAAAATCCAGATAAGACCTCTACGAAACCATCAGAGATGCCAAGAGGCAGTAGTGGACCAAGTTAGTGGTCCAAACCAACCACACAGACACTCAGCGCCTGTGTGAACCTGCTGGCGGAGGTATTCACTGACATCTTCAACATCTCCCTCCTATAAGCCGAAGTCCCCACCTGCTTCAAGAACACGACCATCATCCCCGTGCCAAAGAAAGCACAGGCATTAATGACTACCGCCCAGTGGCTCTGACCTCCATAATCATGAAGTGCTTCAAAAGGCTGGTCATGGCCCATATCAAATCGAGCCTCCCAGTTTGCCTTGTTCCCCTACAATTTGCCTACCAACGTAACAGGTCCAGAGTGGATGCCATTTCCCTAGCCCTGCACTCATCCTTGGAACATCTGGACAACAAGGGGACCAATGTGTGACTCCTTCTCATTGACTACAGCTCCGCCTTCAACAACATAATCCCCTCCAGATTAATCTCAAAACTCTGAGACCTAGGTCTCGTCTCCACCCTCTGCAACTGGATCTTCAGTTTCCTGACACATACACTGCATTCTGTGAAGATAGAAAACAGCACCTCCTCCATGTTAACGCTCAAGACTGGAGCACCCCAAGGATGTATTCTTAGCCCCCTACTGCACTCCCTGTACACAAATTCCAAACAAACGCCATCTACAAGTTTGGTGATGATACCACCGTGGCAGGACGGATATCAAACAAAGATGAGTCAGAATACATCAAGGAGACAGAGGGCTTGGTGGCATGGTGCAATGATAACAACCTCTCTTCCATTATACATAACGAAGCTGAGGTGGAAAGTGTCGAGAACGTCAAATTCCTAGGAGTGACGATAACTGACAACCTGTCCTGGACGTCCCACATATATGCGACGGTCAAGAAGGCATAACAGCGCCTATTCTTCTTCAGGTGACTTAGGAAGTTCGGCATGTCCATAAAGACCCTCACCAATCTTTATAGATGCATCCCGAAAGCATACTGTCTGAGTGCATAACGGTCTGGTACAGCAACTGCACTGCCCAGGACTGTAAGAAACTACAGAAGGTGGTATGCACATGCCAGACCATCATGAAAGCCAGCCTTCCGTCCATGGATTCCACTCACATTTCTCATTGCTGCCAACATTATCAAAGACCCCGCCCACCCTGGTAATGCTCTCCTACAACCTCCTCCAAGGAAACTGATGGGCCCGGATGGTGTCCCTGGCCGAGCACGCAGATCCTGGGCAGACCAACTGGCGGAGGTATTCACCGACATCTTCAACCTCTCCCTCCTATGAGCTGAAGTCCCCAGCTGCTTTAAGAAAACCACCATTATTTGCATACCTAAGAAAACATTTGCAATGTGCCTTAATGACTACCAACCAATGGCTCTGACCTCAATATTCATGAAGTGCTTCGAGAGGCTGGTCATGGCACACATCAACTTCAATCTCCCAGCCTGCCTCGATCCTCGACAATTTGCCTACTGATGTAATAGGTCCACGGCAGATGCCATATCTCTAACCCGGCAACGTCTGAACAACAAGGACACCTATGTCAGACTCTTGCTCATTGACTACATCTCCTCCAAAAAAACACTCAACACTGGAGCCCCCAAAAGATGCTTTCTCAGCCCCCTACCATATTCCTGGGGTAGATATCTAACAACAATGAGTCAAAATACAGATGGGAGATAGATGGCATTGTGATGTAGTGCAATGAGAACAACCTCTCTCAATATTGGCAAGACTAAAGAACTGACCATTGACTTCAGAATAAAAGTTGGTGAACATGCCCCCACTTACATCAACAGAACTGAAGTTGAGAGGGTAGAAAACATCAAGTTCCTCGGAGTGACAATAACTGACAACCTGTTCTGGACCTCTCATGTAGATGTGGTGGTCAAGAAAGCACAACAATGCCTCTTCCTCAGGCGGTTCAGGAAATTTGGCACCATAAAGTCCCAACTTCTACAGATGCACAACTGAAAGCATATTGGCCGGGTGCATAACAGCCTGGTATGGCAACTGCTTTGCCCAGGACCGTGAGAAACTACAGAAGGTGGTGTGCACAGCACAAATCATCACGGAAGCCAACCTTCCATCCATGGACTCTATTTACATGGCTCGCTGCCACGGAAATGCTGCCAACATCATCAAAGACGCATCGCACCCCGGTAATGATTCATCAACCTCTTCTGTCAGGCAGAAGATACAGAAGTCTGAAAACATACGCCAACAGGTTCAGGAACAGCTTCTTCCTGGCTATTATTAGGCTGATGAATGGACTGTCTAGCCTCAAATAATGCTGCTCTTGCTAAAGTTGATATCGTCTACCTCACACCCTGTGCAATGTAACCTGTATGCCTCTGTCTAAGTCTTTTTGACCTGTACATCCTTACTTACTATGAACTGCCTGTACTGCTCATAAACAAAGCTTTTCACTGTACTTCAGTACATGTGACAATCAATCAATCAAGCAGAAGATACAGAAGCTTGAACACACGCATCAACAGGTTCAAGAACAGCTTCTTCCCTGCTGTTATTAGACTGATGAATGGACTCTCTAACTTCAAATCATGTTGATCTTATTAATGTTGATCATGCTTCTAGAAGATTCTACCCATTGCATCACTAGTCATCATTACTTTTGCAAGCCACATTAATAATTATGGAAAAATCCCATTCAGCAGAAAATGGACGGTACAGAATTTCAGTTTTGTTGCTTCTAAAATAAAGACTTACCTAAAAGTGGAAAACAAAACTATTTATACAGTATAATCATTGGAAACCTTCCCACGTGGTTTTGAAGCATTGACTTCATTACAGCAATGCTATGGAAGATTACTGTGAACAATGTGTTCAAATTTTGCTCGCAAGAAAAATAAATTGGACCTGAACTGTTATCAGCAAAAGAAAATTCTGCATTAATTAAATAATTTGTAGAGAACTATGTCGTAATAGGAACTTGAGGAAGTAATGTACAGAGTAAGTAAACATCAAAATCAGCAAATAATTGGTTACTTGCTTTGAAAAGGAAGTACACGTAGGAACTACTGAAACTGAAAGAAAGTTTCAGAGAGCTGCAGAGGCAACAAATTTAAAGTAAGTTTTTGTTTAGTTTCGCTTTGTACACAGACGCATAGAGTTCACTTGCTGCACCGTGTATGTGTTACTTTTCAGGATAAAACAATTGTGAGTAACATTTATCTTTGTTACAAACTTTTTTTGGGATTGAAACTTGTACAAATAGAAATCATGTAGTTATATAAGTATAAGAGCTTGAATTTGAACTCCTCTCGTCCATTACAGGAGCATTTTTCCTGTTTCAAGTCTATCCCTGCACCGCTCTTTATTAATTTCATTCTTTAAGTTTTCTGAATATTTTTACCTATTCTATTTCCTTTTTCCCACTTTTCTTTCTGCCCATATCACAATATCTATTTTTACAAGCTGGCACATTCTTGATTTTCAGTTCATTGCCTATGAATAGATTCCAATTCACTATTAAATGCTTATTGTACCAGAGCAGACATTTTGTGTTCAATTATAAAGTTTACATTCTAAGTTACATAAGTAGTGAAACACAATGGATTATTGAAATTTTCTTACACAACATGAGTGGAGCAGATCCTGTCCATTCTCATTTGCATTCAGTCAGAGACTGAAACATGCAAGGACAGCTTCTCTACAAATAAAAGGAGGCTAAATTGAGGGAACTGTGTGGAGTTGGGCTAGAATTCTCCTCATAGGCAATAAAAAAAATTAACAACAATACAGCCTTGATCAAATCAACCAAATCTCCTAGCTGCAATAATGCTGAGCAGATAAAAACACAGAGAAGTTTTATATTATTTAAAAAAAAATAAGATGACTACTGCTATTTTGTGCAGGCAAAATATCAACACCAGACAGTAAAACATCATTTAAATGGTTCACAAGAGTGAGGCCTCTTTCAGAGTACGTGTCCAGTTTTGGTCACTCTGTTACAGGAAGGATATTAATAAGCTGAAGAGCATTCAGAAGAGATTTACCAGGATGTTGCTGGGAATGGAGGGTTTAAGTTATAAGGAGAGGCTGGAAAGGCTGGGACTTTTTTCACTGGAGCATAGGAGGTTGAGAGGTGACTTTATAGAGGTTTATAAAATCATAAGGGCTATTGGTAAGGTGAATGGTGGGTGTCTCTTCCCTAGAGTGAGAGATTTCAAGACTGGGGACATAATTTTAAGGTGAGAGGAGAAAGATTTAAAAAATACACGTGAGGCAATTTTCTTACGCAGAGAGTGGTTCGTGTGTGGAATGAACTCCCAGAAGAAGTGGTGGATGTGGCTACAGTTACAACATTTAAAAGACATTTAGATAAGTTCTTGAATAAGAAATGTTTGGAGGGATATGGGCCACATGCAGGCAGGTGGGACTAGTTTAGTTTGGAATTATGGTTGGCATGGACTGGTTGGACCGAAGGGTCTGTTTCCGTGCTGTATGACTCTATGACTCTAAGATCCCAAAATCCATTCAGTAAATTCTACACTTTTCCCATAGCTGCAATTTGTCCTTTAATGATTTCAGGATTTTTACCTTCACCATTTTATTTAATAATCCATTCCAACTGTTGATCACTCTGTATGAAGTGCTTCCTGATATCACTAAAGTCACATAATATTAGATTGAACCTGTGTCTTCTCACCCTATTTCTGAGCTTTAATTTCAAATAATACTCTGGATTGATCCCTTTTTTAATGCTGCTTACTGTTTAGCAAATCAGATACTAAGCATAATTTAGACGGGAGTTCAGAAGCAGAATCTATATTTGAGGAGAAACCAATGACACAAAGGTTGGTGGAATTGTGGACAGCGATGAGGACCGTCAGAGGATACAGCAGGATACAGATTGGTTGGTGACTTGGGGGCAGAGGTAATGCATTTTGGAAGGTCTAATCCAGATGGAAAATATAAAGTAAACGGCAGAACCCTTAAGAGTACTGATAGGCAGAGGGATCTGGGTGTACAGGTACACAGGTCACAGAACGTGGCAATGCAGGTAGAGAAGGTTGTCAACAAGGTATAGAGCATGCTTGCCTTCATCAGCTGAGACATTGAGTTTAAAAATTGGCAGGTAATGTTGCAGCTTTATAGAACCGTAGTTAGGCTGAATTTGGAATATTGTGTTCAATTCTGGTCACCACACTACCAGAAGGATGTGGTGGCTCTGGAAAGAGTACAGAAAAGATTTACCAGGATGCTGCCTGATATGGAGGGCATTGGCTATGAAGAGGGGTTGGAGAAACTTGGGTTGTTCTCACTGAAACAATGGAAGTTGAGGGGTGACCTGATAGAGGTCTGCAAGGTTATGAAGGGCATAGACAGAGCGGACAGTCAGAAGCTTTTCCCCAGGGTGGAAGCGACAGTTACTTGGGGGCATATGTTTAAGGCGTGAGGGGCAAGGTTTAAAGGTGATGTGCGAGGCAAGTTTTTTGCACAGAGGGTGGTGGGTGCCTGGAACTCACTGCCAGGGGAGGTAGTGGAAGCAGATACGATAGTGGATGGGAATAGAGGGATACGGTCTACAGAAGGGTAGGGATTTTAGTTGTGATGGGCAGCTTGTCGGTGCAGGCTTGAAGGGCCGAAGGGCCTGTTCCTGTACTGTAATTTTCTTTGTTCTTTGTAAGTTTAAAGAAACAAAGGCAAGGACAAAGGAGAGTGTATACGTTAGCTCGCTCGTTAGTGAGAACACACAGTAGTTCCACGGCAGGGGAATCAAATGGGAAAGTTGCTGTATCAAGTTGCAGAAAAAGGTTCAACTGAAAGCAAAATATATGGATGCTAGCAGCATTTGTGGAGAGAGAAAAACCCAGTTAATGTTTTGATTTTGTTATGACTCATCTTCTGAACAGAAAAAGGTTGATCTACGTCCAATAAAATCACAATGCATTGGGTGATATGTCAGAAAGCCTGCATTCAATTAAAAAACATGGAGGGCCCTTCCACCAACATGGCACCAGTGTTTTGTACAGAGACTGGGGTCCATCCTTTCTAATATGGAACAGGCTGCTGACTCTATCAACACATTTGTTGAACTAATTGTGACGTAGCATCTGATTGCTGAGATCTCCGCTTCCATAATATACCAGCAGCAGCCACCCAGCATCAGAGACTGCAATGGAAAGTGCTGCTGTCCTGGTGTGGGATACCAGCATTCCAAGCCTGGATTCCCAGGCTTCCAGGGCCTCACAGCAGTCCAGCAACCTCTTCTCCAAAAAGCAGAAAATTGGACAATTAAAAAAATCTGTCTGACTTGATTTAAAGTTGTTTCTCAAGTACCAAAGTAAGAAAACAGCTGTGTCAGGACCAGTAAGTTCAATATTTATACTGAAAATCCCTGAACTTATGTGGAGTATGATTTTGCATACCTGTGGTCATTTGAAATGGTAGATACAACTTATTTCAGTGTGATTGGCCTTGGAAAGGAAAATCAGGATTCTCCAGATTTAGCACCATCCAGTGACCTTTATTTACGCACATGCGTAAACATTAAATGAGGACAAATTCTGTGATGTTCCCATGGAAGATTAACTAGATAGGCTCATCCGAAGAAGTGTTAGCTGAGTGATGTGTCAATGAGCTGGCAGTTCATGTGAGTTGGTGCCTTCTGGAGAGTAAATTGGAGTAAAACTGCTGCAGTCTGTTTTCCAAACAGAAATTGCTGGAGAAACTCAGCAGGTCCGGCAGCATCAGTTGGGATAAAGCAGAGTTAAAGTTTCGAGGCCAGTGACATTTCATCAGAACATTAGCGGTTGGTTCTGTTGAAGAGTCACCAGGCTCGAAATGTTAACTCTGCTTTCTCCCCACTGATGCTGCCAGACTTGCTGAGTTTCTCCAGCAACTTCAGTTTCTGTTTCAAATCTCCAGCATCTGCAGTTCTCCATTCTATTTTGCTTTGCATTATTTCTATATTCTGTTCATCTGTTAAACAGTAGTTGTTCATTGAGTATTAAGACTACAAGAACGCAAGAATTAATTTTTAAAATACTTCTTTTTCTCAGAACTGATGAAGCCCTTGGATTCTGAGTAAGATTTTTTTTTAAAGAAGTACTGAGAATTATGCAGAATTTTAACTAACTTTGAAGTTTAACTAAAACACAATGTGGGTAGTGTGGGTTATTGCTTGGTTGGTTAATAATACTAGCAATGGTAGATCTGTTTGTGTTTCAAATTCCGCATTCCTATTTACCTCTGATAACTCTTGATTCCTCTGCCTAACAAAAATCTATCCACGACAACAAGGTGCAGGGCTGGATGAACACAGCACCTCTGTCTCAAATATATTCAATGACCCTGCCTCCACTGCCTTCTGATATAGAGAGTTCCCAAAGTCACACAACCATCAGAAAAAAAATCTCCTCATAACTGTCCTGAAAGACCAATCCTTAATTTTAAAACATTGTCCCCTAGCTCTGGGCAGACCCAGAAGAGAAAACATCCTTTCTACATTTAGCTGGTCAAGACCATTCAGGATCTTATACACTTCAAATAAATCACTCTTTACTATTCTAAACTCCAAATGGAATCAAGACCAATCTCTCTAACATTTTCCCTTAAAAATCCCCTCATTCCAGGTTTCATTCCAGTAAACATCACCTGACTCACCTCCAAATCATTCACATCTTTCCTTAAATAAGGAGACCAAAACTGTACACAGTAATTAAGATGCAATACCATGCATAACTGGAGCATAACATCTTTGCTTTTATATTCAATTCTTCTCATGCTAAAGGATAACATTGCTGTAACATTTTTGATTAAGTGCTGTACCTGCATGCTAACATTTTGTGACTCATGCACGAGGAATTCTAAAACTGTGCTCCATCCACGTAACACTTTGTTTTTTCATTCTTTCTGCCAAAGTGAACAACTTCGCATTTTGCTAAGTTATGCCCCATCTACCAGATTTTTGCTCACTCATTCATTCAACCTATCTACATTTGTCTGGAACATCCTTATGACATTCTTTCCTATCTTGTTTTTCCTTTTGCTCATGAATTTAATTATCATGGCCTTCATTCCCCTCATCTAGGTCATTGACGTAAATTGTAAAACAAAATGAAATCCATGACAGTCCCCTGTGGAACTCCATTTGCCACATCCTGCCAAGCAGTCAAACATCCATTTTTTCAATACTCCTTGCTTTCTGTTAGCCAGCCAATCTTCATTACATGCAAGTCAATTATCTTCTACACCATTTGATTTTATTTTCTGCAATAACTTTTAACGTGGCACCTGATCAGATCCCTTCTGGATATCCAAACATAATACTTCTGCAGGCTCCCCATTATCCACAGCGCATGTTACTCCTTTAAAGAATTCCAATAAATTGATTAAACATGATTTCTCTTTGCTGAAACCAGGCTGACTCTTCTTGATTACCTTGAATTTTTCTGAGTGTGCAGCTATAATATTTTGAATAATTTTTTTTTCCAACACCTTCTCCATAACAGATGTCAAGCTAACTGGCTTATGATTTCCTGCTTTCTGCTTTCTCCTGGCTTAAAAAGAGGGGTTATATTTGCCATTTTCCAGTCTGATAGAATTTCTCCAGAATCTAGGGAATTTTGGAAGTTTAAGACCTATGCCATTGCCACCCGAGGAAGAAGTCCATCTGGACCCAGGGACTTACAGCCTGCAACTCCATCAGTTTCATTAGTATCACTTCCCTTGTTATTATAATTTTTCTAGATTCCCTTCTCCCATCCACATCCTGATTTACAGCTATTACCAGAATGTTTTTTTATCCTTTATAGTGTTGACAAAAACAAAATATATGTTCACTTAATGCATCATTTCCTTACCATCTTCTACTGAATTCCATTCTCAGTCTCTAGAAGACTAACATTCACTCTACTTACCTCTTTCATTTTTTTAACATACCTGTGAAAACTCTTGCTAACCTTTTATTTACATTTTTAGCTGGCTAACTCTCATGCTTCAGTTTCTTCCTTGTGAGTAACCTTTCAGTCATTTTCTGTCATTCTTTATATCTAGATCAATTATCCTACCTGCTATTCATTTTTGTGTAGTTATATGCTTTTTCCTTAAGTTTGATGATTTCCTAAATTCTTCAGTTAACCATGAATGGTGGGTCGTCCATTATTTTGAGTATTCTTAAATATTCCCTTAAATGTCTGTCTCTAGCGATCTATTCTATAGCCTTGTATGTGAGATCACTTCAGCTAGTTCAGTTTTCACACCTACATAGTTGCCCTCATTTCGGATTAAAAAAATAGTTTGAGACCCAATCTTCTCCCTTTCAAAAAGGATGTAAATTTCAATCATGTTGTTGCTTGTTGCTATGTAGAGGTGCCTTAACTGTAAGGTCATTAATTAATCCTCTCTCAATGCACAATACCAAGTCTAATATATCCTGGTCTCTGATTGGTTCCAAAATTCTCAGAAACGCTATTCTCGGAAACAATCTCAAAAATATTCTTTAAACTTCTCATCCAGGCTAATACTGCTGATCCGATTTTTCCGGTTTATATGTGTATTAAAGTCACCCAGGATTCTTATCATCCCTTTATTACAAGCACCCAACATTTCTTCTTGTATATTTTGCCTGACATTGTGGTTACTGTTTGGGAACACATAGACCACTCTCACAAGTGACTTCTTTCCACTCATCTCCACCCAAATTGAGTCTACATCCTGACCTCTCGAAACAAGATCATCTTTAACCGTTGCAAAAATTTCTTCCTTGATCAACATGCTACCCCTTGACCTTTACCGAGCCTCCTACTTTTCTTGAATATAATATACCCCTCAATATTTGGGACCCAATCCTTGTCATCCTGTAACCATAACTAGTTATCAGATCCTATTTGTTTATTTCCATGTGCACTAACAATTTGTTTACTTCATTATCAATGCTTCATACATTTAGATAAAGAGCCTTTAGTTTTGTCTATTTGTTATCTTTGTAACATTGAGTGCAATTGCTGCTCAAGATCAATTTGAGTGACTGGAGACATAGAATATCCAGGAGGTCTCATATAACATTAGCATTGCAGGCAACAGATCTCAGTTGTCCCAACATTATGCTTCAAAGTCTATCCGAATTCATGAAGCTGTTAACGAGCTATAATCCCATTTAATTGACAACTTGCTGCTATCTCGTGAGAATATTTCCTCAGTGCCAGGCATATACATAAGAGATACAACATTGCGTCCAATGTTGGGATAGGCTTTGCAGATCTTCCTGCGTGATTATGCCACTATTCTTGGTGTAAATCACGTCTCTCATACAATTAAAGGATTCCCTCCTTGTCGTCAAGTTTGGAAGCATGAGTTGGGTCAGTTCCTGATATTGCACTCCCAACTTATGATAGTCAGCCAATTGTCCCAGAATTTTCATCTTCCAGATTTGGGACAGGCTAGAATCATGGATGTTGCCTCTGAATGCAATCCAATGCAGGGAAAGAACGGGGCATGTTCTGAGGCCAGCAGGTTAATTATCTCACTAGTTTATAGGCCTTCTAATTCTTGCACCTCACCCCCTTTTCCATTCACCCAACCTCTGTGCAAACTCCAAGCCCCTTTCATATCCCTGATAACTCTCTAAGACACTGGCATATCCTTAATTTCTCCCATGCCCCCTCCAAACCATCGTGTATCCTCCGTGCCCACACATCTGGTATTGAATAAGTACATAACTCATGAGCCATATAATAACATTGGAAAGCCTTTGAAATGTTGAGAAATTTAAAATAAATGATCAACCATTCAAACTTTTCTTGAAAAATCATCCATCTTAAAAACTCATACAATTTTCAATCAAAACACGTACGGAATGAAACCCTCTTGAAAATGTAATCTTTTCTCACATGCTCATTAATCTGTGAAAACATACAAAAAGCTATTCAAATGTCTCTTCAATATATTTAATTCTATTAACTGCTCATAAAACTTTCAATCAAATAAAGAATCCTCTCATTGCCATTTAAATAACTCTCACGGCATTATATCCATTAGTGGAGTTGAGACCACTCATAATGCAATTGCTATACAGTTGAATAGACAAAAACTACAGAGTTCAATATAATATATTGTTTGAAGTTTTCTAATTGGATGTCCAGTCCATCTGCAGTAATTTTTCAATGCTCAATGGAGTTTCCATCAGAGAAGTCTGGCAACTGTTCAGTTTTCCTCCAAAGTTTGAAAAGATCCTTGGACTTTAAATCATTATAGTACTCAAAACACAATTTCCAGATGATCCACAAATCACATTTTGACAATGGTTGAATGCAGAAGTCAACTGTATCCGCATAAAGCACGTGAATGCTTACACATTGCTGGGCATTGTAATGGTCATTTTCCTTTTAAGGACAAAGTCCAATGATCAATCTCTACATTGAAAACTTACCTTCTCATTAACAGGTCACTTAAACTTGAAATGATTGTCTCTTTTAGAAAGTCTTTTAAAGTGTCCTAAAGTTTTCTGTTTAAGGGCAGAAGTGAAAGCAAATTACTTTCAAAATACCAGTGAGATAATAGCCCTTGTTGATATTTAAGTTCAAAAATGACATCACCTTCCAGCTCAATGCGAAAATAAAGTTTCAGTAGGAGATGAACTGCTCTGTCCTTTGTGAAAATACTATTTTCTGGCTCCCTATTGAAATGTATTGAGCAGCATAAACGTCTTGTGCTGGCACAATAGATATGAAGCAATCCTTCTAAAACACATTCAGTCATTTCAATTCTAAACATCCTTTAACAATATTGTAAGTGTTAATTACTAACAGTCGACTTCTCTGGCCTCGAAAATGAACTTTTAAGCTTTCATTCCTTCAGCACATTTAATCATTGTTTAGAGATTTTAAAAATCCCAATATTTTTATTTCACTTTCTATCTTCTGTCTTTCTTAATCCAGTCTTAACCTTTCCATTTGTAATTTCGGTTTCTGTCCTGGTTTGATAGTGAATTCACCTTTCTATCTTATATTTCCTTGTTCAGATCCTATGATGCTCATTTAAGAATTTTCCAGTTTGATCAATTAAAGATATATACAATTGCTTACCTTGTTCATTCCCATTCCAGATGCCTAGTTCCCCTGGCTGTGACATTGCATTTTGCCCTTCTGGCAATATCATGGAACTTAAATAATGAGTCTCAGGACTGTTAGTAGTATTGACTGATTAGTTAAATGAATTTTGGAGCCATTAATGATTGATATATGGGAATAGTTATTTGCTATTAATATAAATGTATCTTCTTTTACAGGTACTTGCTGGAAAGATGCTGAAATTTGATTGGTCAAATGTATGTGAGTTCTATACAAGTGTACCAGCGACTGGTATTAATATCACTTCTTTTCTTGTAACGCATTTATGACCAGCAGTTGGGTGTACAGGGCACAATTTCAAAACTTGCAGATGACACAAATCTTGGAATTGTGAAGTGTAAAGAGGATCACGATAGAATTCAAACAGATATGGACAAGCTGATGGACTGGGAGGACATGGCAGATGAAAACTAATGTGGTGAAATTTGATGTTATGAATTCTGATAGGAGGAATGAAAGTGACAATGCAAATAAAAGGCAGAAATCTAAAGGAATTGAAAAAGTAGGGTGACCAAGAATAGATTGACAAAGCGGTTAAAAGGCAAAACAGGAAATTGCCCATTATGAATAGAATTTGTTGTAGAACAGTGATTTGTTTTCAATAAGACAATTGTGTTCATTCTGGGCATTACATTTTGGAAAGGATGTGAAGTTGGACAAAGGGTGCAGGAAAGATTCATGGGATTGGTTTTCGGAATGAGCAACTTCAGTTACGTGGATATATTGTATAGGGTGGAGGTTTCTCCTTACAGAAGAGAAATTTAGGAGAAGATTTAGTGTGGGTCAAGTAGAAAAGAAAGATAGTCTTCATTTAATTTATACTTTTGCTTTAATATAATCCCTGTTCGAATTCCACAAGCCAAAGTAAATTTAAAGTTACATTTTCTTTGTTATAACAGAACAAAACAGAATCCGTAAATAGTGCAACTTAAACTCTTTGGAGAATGGTGGAGCATTTAGTTAAATACACTCACGAGCAAGTCCCTGTAATTCATAACTAATTTTGCCACTTTGCACTTTGAAAATTCACATTTTGAATGAATTACCTGTGAGCTCGACCTTCAGTGTTATTTATCCCTTTTTGCGACATTTCTGGGAATCACTTAAAATACTTACTTTAAATCATTGTTAACTTTAACTGAAATCATTGAAAAATTAAAGAACCAATCATTATTTTGAAAAATATGTGGCAAGCAATTCTTTCAGGCTGAATGGAAAGGACAGAGAGACGGAGAGTTGGTGGTACAACAAAGAGCGTAAAAGAGAGAGCCAGACTGAAAGCACCAATACGTTAATACATCTATTTTCATTATGACTATGTTGTATGCAAGTGACCTGATGTGTTCATGCAGCGATTCATGTTGTTAGACTATATGTTTATAAATAATTAATAGAACATTTGTCTGACATCCTTTTCATCAAGACTAATCCACTTTTATAGCATTAATTATGTAGTGCCTTGTACCTTGCCTCTAATAGCTCCCTCTTGCATTGATTGAGTTCCCCTTTGAAATCATCAGTGTACAGATGAAGTGCTAACTAACCTCAGAACTACTCCAGTCTTAAATTTTGCTTCTTTCATAACTGTGTCACAAAGAATATTCATACTGTAGACATGACATACATATTGGTGATAATGTAAACTGTGATATATTATTTGTTTAATCATACTCGCTCACAAGTTAGAATTTTAATTTGATTATTGGGGATCTTTCATTTTAAGGCATAATAAAATATTCATAAATAATCAAGTTCATTTATTATTGCACCTGTGTTACAGAATAAGTATGGTATAAGTCTGCTGTATATTCGAAATTGTAAGTTATTTACAATGCATTTACCGTCAGCTTACGAAGAAATCACTTCGACTATAATGGCAAAGATTGAAAAGCGACAGAAGAACCTGAAACTGAAAAGCAATATATGTGAGCTTGTCACTGAAGATGGTTGCAAAGTCTACCTGGTTGGCACAATTCACTTCAGTAAGCAAAGCATCAAAGATGTACAACAGGTAAAACAAACGTGACACAGAGAAATGCTGTAGTGAATTTAAAATAAAATTAATCGAAAACAAAATAAATCAGAATTTTGTTTAGGAATTATGTTTCTATGATAATACAGCATCTTGAATAAATTATATGGTGGCTCAATGGTTAGCAGTGCTGTCTCACAGCACCAGGGACCCAGGTTTGATTCCACCTTTGGGCAATGGTCTGTGTGGAGTTTACACATTCTCCCCTTGTCTGCGTGGGATTCCTCTGGGTGCTCTGGTTTCCTCCCACAGTCCAAAGATGTGCAGATTGGGAGGATTGGCCATGCTAAATGACCATCATGTCCAGGGGATGCGCAGGCTAGGGAAATGTAGGGTGATAGGGTAGGGGGTGAGTCTGGGTGGGATGCTCTTCAGAAGGTTGGTGTCGACTTGATGGGCTGAATGGCCTGTTTCCACACTGTAAGAGTTATAAAAAAAACTCTCGCTGTTGAGTTAATATTGACAATGATTTATTGATACTGCTTTTATGGTTTGACAAACGACTGAGAGTTTCCAGGTTTGTTCTTGCTCTGCTGCTCCTCTGCATCAATGAAGATGCAAAGGCAACTTCTACTCATAAACTGAAACAAATACATATTTTTCATGTGATCTAACATTCTGTTAAGTATTTCCTGCCTTCTTCTTTCACAATAAGAGAAGCATTACATGTAAAACTAGTTTTAACAACATATTCACTCTAAACATAATGGCAGCACTATTAGAAAAAGAAACACCATATTATAGAAATGCAATGGTTCCTGAATTAATCAGTATGAAATGAGTTCATTCATTAGTTATACATTTTTGAAGCAGTGGCTTCATGCACCAGTCCCACCATCTTGGACAAAATAAAATCTCATCGTGAGTTATTTGTCAAATGGCACTATTTTTGTTCTTTGACAAGTGGTTGGGAGTTTCGAGGAATGTTGTTACTCTGCTGTTCTCTGCATGAGTAAAGATGTAAAGGTAACTTCTGCTCGTGAATTGCAACAAACACAATTTGTTTAGACTGAAAAGACCTGCTTAAAAGTTTTCTGACACTACTGGTTGAATGTGCTGTACTGTACAGAAAATTACATTTCCAAAAGATCTGAGGAACACCTAGAAACAACTGCAATATTTAGAGATTAATTTATGCTCACACTGGGATGGGTTGGCAGATGGGCTGGCTGAGGTAGAGGCGGGAGTTGAAAAATTCTGCATGATGCCATGAGTGCCATTCCCAGCCAACTACATTGCAATTTTATTCAAGAGGGGATGGTGTTGGGCAGCCCACCTGCCCTTCATCCAATTGAGGCTCGTAAGTGGACACATGGTCCTTTAATGCCCTGTTGCAATTTTTCATGATGTTGGAAGGGGAGAATGGCTGATATGAAGCCCACCAGTTGTACGCCACAATACCAGGCAGAAAATGGCAGGTATCTTCTTTATGGGTTCAATGGGCTCATCAGAGATCCCTCCAAAGACCTGACCACCTTGTGTTCCCCCTACCACCTCCACCAACCTCCACCCCCCCTACACTTGGACCACTGTGACCCCCATATCGTTGTCCCTTTCACTAGGCTTTTTTAACCTGGTATTGTGGAAATAAGATCAACTCACCACTCCATTTGGCTCCAACAGCAATCTTCAATAGGGACTGGAAGTAATCCCAACAGTGGCCACCTATTTTGGTGACTCGGGGTTGCAATTTAAATGAAATTTTCCTTGGCATTGGTACTTGAGGTGTTTGGGTTTCTGAAAATGTGTGTAAGTCAGTTTGTGAGCATTGGGGGCAGTCTGCTGTGGCATCAGGAGCCTTTTGGCAAGTAAGTTTAATTGTCTTGCCAACCTTAAATATCATTAAGGTGTACAATTTTATTTTGTATGGTTTCAATACAGTGATTGATATTGAGCCCTGACCCTGAACAGTAATGGGCTATTAAATTGTTTGGCATTGTGTAAGTGTTCACTTGCATTAGATGTGACCCCTTCTTATCAAGCACTTTCTCAGTATGTTTTCAAAAGTATCTGAGGAGCTCATGTGCAAAAATCATATTTATCAACTTCAGGCCACAAGGAAATACTACAGTTCCACCTTTAGATTAGTGATTTTGTCATTAAACATAGTAACATTTAGGCAGAGTTCTGAACAGAATTTTTCTCAGGCCCTGAAACAGAAATAACCAACATTGCTGTATCCAAAAGAATCTTTCAAGCGAGAATCTAAACTTCTGAAAATCTATGAACAAATGGGGATCAAATGTTATCAAGAAAGTGATAAATGTATAGCCCAAAATTTCTTTCCAAACTTCAATAAAGAATAATCTAGCTGAATGATAAGACCGTGATTGACTGTAAGTATGAATTTACATCACACACACTATATCAATATTTATTGAGCCGATATGATGAGTGTTCTTTTTTCTAGATCATCCAAGAAGTGCAACCAGATGCTGTGGTGTTGGAAGTTTGCCAATATAGAGAACAACTGTTAACATTAGATGAACAGTCATTATTAAATGGAAGCAAGACGTTTGACACACGCACAATGCTGCATTCAATAAAGCAGGTACAGTTATTTTCACGAAATTGTTAATTAACGTTACATTAGTTCTTACTTTGCTTTTATTGGTTATGTTTTTTCCTTAACAAATGTTAAAATGGGATGCAGATATTTTAGGCACTGCAGTTGTCATGGTGCAATGGTCTTCTGATTTTTTTTTACTCAAGCTTTTATATTACAGCATAGGGTGCGAGTTCTGATTGTGTGATTTTAATTGGAATAATACAATACCAAGAATTCAAAATGCGCAATGCCCATGTCAGTAATGCAGGAAATGTTGCATTATTTTCCGTTCCTAGATACCAGCCAGCTTGGAAGGTTTGCAACTATGTTCTAGAAATTGAGCATGAAAACATTGCGGTATTACTCTGAGACTATAGAATATGAAGGGCAGATGGCAATGCTTAAGTACTACTGCTGTCTGTGCTCCTTGGATCTCAAACTCTCTCAAAGGAGAGAAATCAGGACATGTGTGTTTACTCTGGTGCTGAGAGTTTTATTTTTATTGTTAGAAGATAACTAGGTTGGCATTACAATTCCTCATCATCATAGAATCCCTACAGTGTGGAAGCAGGCCATTTGACCCATAAAATCCATACTGACCCTCCAACGAGCATCCCACCCAGACCAACCCCCCCTACCCGATCCATGTAAACCTGCATTTCCCATGGCTAATCCACCTAGCCTGCACATCCCTGGATTGTGTGGGCAATTTAACATGGCTAATCTACCTAATCTACACATCTCTGGACCGTGGGAGGAAACTGGAGTACCCAGAGGAAACACTCGCAGACACAGGGAGAATGTGCAAACTCCGCACAAATAGTTGCCCAATGGTGAGATCAAACCCAGGTCTCTGGAGCTGTGAGGCAGCAATGCAAATCACTGAACACTGTGTCGCCCTGATGTTAAGCAGACAGAGGCCTTAAATCTCCACAGTTCTGTCAACGACCTAACTAATGTTCAGAAAGACATAAACATAAATTCCAGAGGAGTGACACAAAGGACTACTTATAATCATTAATCAAATTTCTCAGGGGATTTCACCAAACTCCTGTTGGAAAGTCCCAGTAAAGATTCCAGGTTTTGATGTTAAATACAGTCAATGATAAGAAAGTTAAACAGAGCACCTGCAAATAAGTGTAAAATGCTGCAGATGCTGAAAATCTGAAATGAAAACAAAGTGCTGAAAATGTTCAATAGATCTGGCAGCATCTGTGGAGAGACAAATAAAGTTTCAAACTGAATATGTCTCTTCTCCAGCGAAGGTTGGGAATTTACTCATATTTGCTCCTGCTCTATGGTTGCACCCGTAGTTGTGGTATTTATGTGTTAAATTAGGCTTTTGTCAGACTTCTAGTGAAGCCCTAAAAAATTTCTGACGTAAGGTTTTTTATGCCTCTTTCATGTATGTAGAAATGATTTTGATTTGAGTGATAACATCTGTAAGTCACAACAGTGTATCTTAGTAGTTATGCTTTTCTTGCTATATTTTTTCCTTGCTTCTCGTTTCTGATCCTTACTGCTTCTGTTTTTCTTCAATTTTATTCTTATGCTCATCTTTTCCCTAGCCAGTCTATCCCATTTCTTTGTTGCTGATCTCAATTAAACCACATTTCTTTTTGTTTCTCTTGCCTCTCAACTATTCTTCAACCATTCAATCATTAAAAATTGCAATGGACTGGCAACGGATTGCACTACATTCATCTGCATGAATATTTCATACACACATTTTGGATAATGTGGGTTCAGGCTCTAGCATTAACAGCCTTGTTAAAGATAAGTTAAAGAAGGCCAGCTTGGACTTTCTGGTCAGCTTCCACTTTCTTGACGTGCTGGGGGCAATTTACTTGCCTGGAGGATGGCATTTGGTGCCAGGCTGGGAGACCAGTCCTCCAGACAGACCTAGAATCCCTCCCTTTTGACTGGATCAGGGTGCAGTAATAATCTGGCTGCTTTCTGTACTTTTAATGTGAATTTTTAATTTAAGTGGTGAGAAGGGGACCTTTTCATTGAAGTGCACTGCAGTTGCATCGTTCAGCAGCTGAGTGCTCCTCTGAAGCAGGAAGGCCTCTGATGTGCCATCCAGTTTAGCGAGCCTACCCACTGCTCTCATACAGATAAAACAACTGTTTCATGCCAGCTGGGTCAGTGTCTTGGTTACAATCCCAGGCCAGTCTGTAGTGATTGTAATGAAGTCAGCCAGCTGGACCTCATAGAACACGAGTTCTCTCCCTGGAGCTGTTAATCTGGTCCAATCAAGGAGACCTGCTTAACATAAAAGGATGAATATCAGGGATTTTGAGACCCTGTATGCCTGACTCAGTGAGAGGCAGTGCTTTTGTCAAAGGCTTTGCATTTGTAAATAACGGGTGTCTGGTGATGGGATACTGGCCTCTGAAGAGTAATTTCAAGTCACTTCTTCCCCAGAGGTGGTGGGTTCTGGTGCTAGAAGCAATCCTAACTCTTGTTTCCAACTCCAAAGCCAAAATCCAGCCCATTGTCTGTGTCTTTCTTTTACCTCTTTTTCTTTTGGAATCTGATTTTAGTCTGGAATTTTTTTTTGCAGGTAATTATATATTTTTTGCCCTGCACCCAAACTGTTGTGCATTTCTATTGCTCCTTGTAGTTTGGATTGATACATACGTTGTGGTCAATGCTGTTTCTGAGAATTTCAGCTTATCTGATTGACGAGCTGGGCATGGCCCCAGGTGGGGAATTCAGGAAAGCTTTCAGAGAGGTGAGAATTCCAGCATTACTATACTGTAATTTTGATCTTAAAGATTCTTTCAAGTTTAGATAATTTGCAAGTTGGTTTCACCAAAATGTTCACTTCTATCTGACTACAAAGCTGATAGAGATTGTTAACATTGCAATGCCAGTATTTAACATGTGCTCCATTTTAATTGTTTACAAATTCTGTTGTTGTTGGCACTTGGAGTTATTCCACGGGTGATTTCCCCCAAAATTAAATTCCATGAGATAAAATCGAAACCAAATCCACCAGAGTGTTAGAGATAACAAGGTGTAGAGCTGGATGAACACAGCAGGCCAAGCAGCATCAGAGGAGAAGGAAGGCTGACGTTTCGGGCCTAGACCAGAGTGTTAAATGTCGATACACCAGCAACTATTGAATGTCTTAATATGTATTCATGATATAAATATTAAGCTAGTTTACAGCACTCAAATCAGTAGTCAAATGCTCAGATGAAGTTTAGCAAAAATCGGCTAAGTGTTAATTTCTAGGAGTTTCATGGAGGGTTCCAGCAAGAGTTATTTCATGCAATTTTGTGCTGCTCTCCTCATTATGTATGTCCTGCGCTTCTATGATATCACACTTATGCTATTGTCTGCTAACCAGTGGCAAAAGTGCTCGCCACTGCGTGGATCATCTGGCATCTCTACCACAAGTACCATATGGCTATGCACCAGATCAGTTACTGCCAATCACTAATAGCCCTTCACAGTACATATAATGGGAGTGAAATGATAAAGAACTGCTTCTGAGGACATATAGGAGGCTCTGGTGCCACTTGATTGCAAATAGAAGTTCACATCCATAAATGTACTAGTATTTTACATCATCCCCTGTCTAATTGACTGAATTATAACTGAACCTACAAGAATCAAGTTGCACAGGTAACCCATCTGTAACACTGTATCATGTTAGCACCCCGTGAAAGGGAGTGCTACTCTGTCCTTAACACCCAGAGTGGCATAACATTTTGTCAACGTTCAATGTGGGAGTATTACATGTTGGAGAAACTTCAAGCAATTGAAAATGTTAGTTTTTATTGAACAAAGGGAAAAGCAAAGAAAAAACAAACAAAACTGCATTTGCTTCTGAGAATAAATGGTGCTGCTTGCCTTTTGAGTAACAACAAATTTATGACCAATGAAAGATCACCGGATCCAATTCACATCGATTGGAAACAGATGTCAATTAATGCCTGTTTAGCTTGTCATCCCCTCCTGCTGCATTCTATCACACAGAAGTTGATATTTATCCTGCAAATGTCTTCCTTTCCCTCCTCAGAAGAGTGGTGCTGCTCTTCCAGCACGGCAGTATTCAACACATCCCCTCTATGCCTGCTCCAGTTATGCAAGGCACAACAAGCATTGATTATTTGGCACATGGCAAAGTGTACCGCAAAGTGCTTCCAGACAGATTAAAACATCAGAACTTCCTTTTAAGCAGGCCTATCTTCTGCTCCACAATGGCCATAGTGGAAGAATATGTCGCGCTTTATCTATGCTTAGCCTCAGTCAGGGGATTGCATAATGGAGTTATCAGTAATGATTGCAGAAGGAAACCCTTGTTTTCCAGTAACCATCCTTGTAAGACATCCAATCCTTGCAATAAAGCAGGAATGCGAGAATTTTCAAGGACATAGGCATCATGACAGCTTCCAGGGTACCTGCAGTCTTCTAAGATGTGGTACCTCTGCTCATAGACGTCTTGTACAGTGATGGATTGTAACCCTTTTCTGTTGATGAAGTCAGCTATGTTATGATATGGTGCTGTTAATGCAATTTGTGTACAGTCTACAGTGCCCTGCACCTGGGGAAGCCAACTGTGTTGGTAAAGTTTCTGGCCCAGGCTGCAGCTCTGACTTGATTAGAGTGGGTATAATCTGTCCTGTGGGTTTGGGCATTAATGGTCAGGGTTTTACTGGGGAGTTAGTCTGTCGAGTCCTTGGGAAAGTGGGAACCTCAAGTCTGGGATGGGGTTCATTGCACCAAGATGTAAAAGGAGTAATGATCATGAAAGAGGACAATTCAATTCGGAAGATCTGGAATTCAGAGCATAAGAGGAATGGGAGGCTGTAGGTTATGGGGTTTCTCTCAAGTCATCACTTTGGCCTTGACATGGTGTCACAGTTCCTGGGGTAGTACACTAGAAATTAAGCCCTACTATTTCCAGAATCATCACAATTGTGAACATTTTATGAAATCACCAAATTGCCCAATTGTACCTAACTGTCTCATTCAGGTTACAAGAATTGCACACCAGGCTTTCTATCATGAATAGGAAAATCACTATTTATTGTAATTATATTATTTCTTAACCAATGGCAAGAAAGAAATATGAATTACTGACTTCTATCATTAACTCTATAAGTTAAATTCTACCCCTTTTAAACAAAAACTCCCATATATATACAAGCAGGTACACATGATTAGCATCAATATTCAGGGTTATAGGGAAAAGTCAGAATGGCACTAAGTCACAATGTTCATTTGGAAAGCCTTTGCAGATGTGATGAATCTAATGGCCTCCTTCTGCAGTGGAACAATTTTGCAATTCTGCAAAATTGCACTCATTAGCAGGTCATTCATTGTCCAAGAATGCACAATACAAATTATGGCCTCAAGCATTCATGATCATTATGTTGTTTGCACTAATTATCTCTTTTGTCATGTCAGGATTGGAGGGCAATACCACCCTGGTGGCTGTCAAGATTACATCTGTCCTGACATTTGACGCTTTTTTACTATAGTTCGCATCTGTTCATATCCATCCATGGTGACAAAGAGAATGAAGCAGCTTTGGGCAGTGGGATTATCTACTATTGCTAGCTCCTTACAAGTGTGGGGCATTACAGACTTCACTCATGTTGATTTTGAGAGTGCACTATTATTAACCTGTAGAGTTCATCTACAGAAAACTTTTCCTTGCTATCAATGTTCAATGCAATTCCACAAGGAGGGTGCTATGGAGCTCAGATGACAATTAATGAGGTGAAGAGCAGAAGATTGCATGAGAAATGTCACTCATGGTGGACCAGGCACCGTGAATCTCATTGGCCAGAGCATTAACTCCAAATGGGAAAATTCAGCCCATGGTCAAAGACAATAACTAGCAGACAAAGATGAAAAGTTAAAATCCAAAGAAAATTTATTGTAACCTAATTGTATAATGAATGAATAAACATGTTTTAGCTGTCATGTACTTTTAATAATCTCTTCTAGGCTCAGAAAATACCATTTTGCAATGTTTATTTGGGGGACCGGTCAATTTTCATCACTTTCCAAAGAGTTGCTGCTGCGCTTTCCTTCTGGGACCTGGTGAAGGCATTTGTAGGCTTTATTTACGTCAAATCCAGCACTGTTTCAGTTGGGTATGAATACATCTTTGCTTCATTAAATATTTACTGTAGCTTTAATGACATTATTTACAGCTAGTTGTTGGACCATTGACATTACTACACTGTCACACCGAAAAAAGCACAAGGGGAACAATTGTTGTCTAAGGAGTTGTGCTATCTAAAGCGCACAAGAGTAATTTCAACACACTGCATACATTTAGAATAAAATCCAGGAAACTTTTCTTCTGAATTTATTGTTAGGAGTTAAGTGACACTGGATAGACGGAGTTCATTGCTCATCAGAGCTCTTTGCCTTGCATTCACATGACAGATACAAGAATTCTAAATTTCTAAGGTCAGAAATCCCATAACACCAGGTTATAGTCCAACAGGTTTATTTGAAAACACAAGCTTTTGGAGCCTCAGTCCTTCTTTAGGTGTTAGTGAGAGACGTAGTATCAGGCACAGAATTTATAATGTCGTGTCATTTCTGACCTTGTCCACCCCAGTCCAACACCGGCGCCTCCACATCATAAATCTCTAAGGGAACAAGAATATACGCTGCATAAGAAACAGAATGCTGATTGGTTGGCAAGTGGATTCTGGCTACATTTCTTATTGTATGCCGTGATTGATTAGAGTCAAGCAGCATCAGAGGAGCAAAGAGTCAACCTGCTTTATTTGAATGTAAACAAAAGCTTTTGAACTAATTGTCCCTGATGCATTCACCATGGTAACATCTTGACCAATTAAGAACCCACTTGCAAAGAAATTAGCATCCTGTTTCCCTTTCAGTTTAGATTGAAGGGAAGCATTCTTGCTTCTGTCATGTTCCTTCTTCCAAAGTACATCACCTCAAATTAAATTACATCTGCCACTGATCTGTCCATCTGACCCAATCCATTTATATCTTCCTGTACCCTAACACTTTCCTCCTCACTGTCAATCACCCAGTCAATCTTTGTGTCATCTGCAAACTTATCATTCCTCCAATTCTCATTTACATCATTTATGAATATCAGAAACAATAAATCACCAATTTTGACCCAGTGATGATGAAAGATTTTTAAAATTTACTATCTAAGTACTTGGAGTTTAGAGTTAATTGCTTATTTACATAATTTCTAAAAATTAATTTCAAAGCATTTTAAACATTGCCATTTTTTTCACTTCTGATCCTTTCCCTTCCCAAGTGAAGGTGTTCACTTCTTGTTGGGAAACAGTTTGATGGGGACTAGCAGTCTTCCAATGTTTCTGTGATTTACATGTAAACTTTGCCCCTAAGAGTGAACAACATATTTCTTCTCCAGTGGGCAGCTTACAGATGCATAAAACGTAAATATTTGAACACGCTGTCCATGATAAATAGGACAATGTCACATACAGCCATTCTGGAACTTAATTTTTGAATGACAACTTTGGGAAGGACACTTTTTTAAAATGTCAGAATCCAGATCGAATTATGTTTAATAATTTACCAATCTGCCCAATTTAGAACCAACAAGGCGAATTGCTTGAAAAGAAACCAATTTTAATCATTATTAGTCATGGCACAAATATGACAAAAATTGATTTAACAATACAGGTGATCAGCTTGAGAATCAGAGATCTTAATGATGTCATTAATAAAGTGTAAAAAACGTGTTATTATGTCTTAGACAACAAGGTATGTA